AAGTCTCCTGCCTCCGCCTCCCAAGTAGCTGGGACCACAGGCGCCCGCCACAACGCCCAGCTAATTTTTGGTTGCAGCCGTCATTGTTGTTTGGCGGGCCGGGGCTGGATTCGAACCCACCACCTTTGTGTATGTGGCTGGCGCCTTAGCCACTTGAGCCACAGGCGCCGAGCCGTCTACTTCCATTATTTTTATTCCCACGAACCACGGGATCCAAAATACTTATGTAGGACTTAATGCACGAAAGTTTATAGAACTAAGCTGGTAGGGCGGCGCCCGTGGCTCAAAGGAGTAGCGCGCCAGCCCCACGTACTGGAGATGATGGGTTCAAACCCAACCCCGGGCCAAAAAAACAAAAAAAAAAAAGAACTAAGCTGGTAACAAAGAAATGAAAAAAAAATCCATATTTTTAGTGTTCTCCCTTAACCTCAAATAAGAAAATGAAAAGACTGGGCAAATACTGAGTTTTAATTATCACATACATATTCAAAAATCAATCTAATTTGCAAGGCCTGCAACTCCATCTAAGAAATGTACGTATGCTGCAGCATATTAAAACGCAGCAGTTTTTCAACATAACTATTCCTTTTCAAGAATTTAGCAAATCGAGCATGCTTTCTAAGAAATGTACGTAATGCAAAAAAAAAAAAAAAAAACAGCAAAGGTGTGCATGGGTAATAGATCAGATAATCCTAGAAACTCTTCAAAAACGGGCACATTATAAGATTCTATGAATCGATGAATCAACAATCCTATTTTGGTAAAAGCGAAAACTTTCCACATCCATATGCCTTCACTTTCGCATTAATACACGGAAATCCTGAAATGAAAGCTCTGAGTCACCAGGTCTCCAGGGCTACTTCCTTCTGAACACACCCTACTGGAAACATTCGCCCTGAGCTCCGACTTCTCCAGAATAAGCACAGAGCACACAACCTCCCCCACCTCTTTTCAGCAGGGTCCAGGCTTCGCCCATTAAACAAACACTTCCTTCCCCTTTCCAACCCTTGGACGCGCTGAAGACAGCAAGGAAGGTGATTAACAGCTCAGGAAATGCGGACCACGGGGAGGAACCGTGACCAGCCATTCTCTAACCATCTCGAGATCGTATCCTAGAGAACAAGGATACAACAGAGACCGGGTCGCCGACGAGTCCAGAGCCCCCGAGGAGGCTGCCGCTGCAGCTCGGCCCGGCCTCGGTGCTCTGCGCGCCCCCCGGACCCCAGTCCCGACGGGACCCGCCCGGTCAGGAGCGGACGGCGCGCGCGGCCCCGCAAACTTCCGCCCGGGCCCAGCAGGGCGCAGCGAGGGGCGCGCCGCCCCCAGAGAAGGCGTCGCCGTCGCCGCCGCCTCCGAAAACTGCTGTGGACCGGGGCGCTCTCCATTAAGTAGCCCAAAGACCCAGCACCCCTGACACGCACCCAGGCCCAGCACAGGCGTCTGACCTTCCCCGGGGCCACTCACCTAGATAAAGGCACCCGCTCGCAGCTGTCTCCTCGGGTCACTGGCGGAGAGTCCTGAGGCCGGAGTGAAGCAGAACAGCGCACTCTCTAGGACCGCCCGCCAGGCACGTCATGGCACCGCCCCCGCCTTCCGCCCGCGCAGGCGCGCGCTATGGGTCAGGTGATCCCGTCCCCATGGTAACGGGGCGGTGGGCTAGCACGGGGTGATGTGGGTGGGGCGTGGAGGTCATTCTTGCGGCTGCGGGATCCGGGACTGTAGAGCAGAGCGCGCCGCCTGCTGGCCCCAGGGTGCGCTGCCCCGAGGCTGTGTTCCCTGGTCTCTGCCGCCAGGGTTCTTTGTGCCCAAGGGCGGGATGTGTACCTCTGCTCACCATGGCTTTGTTCCCAACGCCTGCAGTGCAAAGAAGGCGAGAGAACTTGTGCCCCTTTTGGGGTAGTTCTCGCCCAGCCTCCCCCTTACACAGCTGCTAAACTGGTGCTGCTATCCCCTCGCTGTACCTCCCCACCACAGGCTCAGAAACATTCCCCCCGCATTGCCCCCTCGCAACTGTTGCCCTATTTTTCTGTGACAATTATTTTTATCTTTTTTTTTAAGTTTATTCAGTTTATTTCCGATCTGTACAGATGATATCCCACCCCCTACACACTCACGTGCACACACACAAACATACCTGAATTTGTATAACAAACTCTTTTGAGTCATAGGAACAGAGCCATACTTGGCAGGCCCACCTTACTGGTTACATTAGATTTGGTCTCTCAGAAACAAAACAGCTGAAGTCCCAAGAAGCTAACTCCCTAGCCAGGGAAGTAAGAGTCATGGAGCCAAAAGCAATAACCTGAAGTATATGCAGATGTCCCCCTTCCAGGGACCCTCTTGAGACCCTCTCCCTCCAGGAATTCCAAGAAACAGTAAAGGGATTGTTGTGCCCGAAAATTATTCTCCCAAGTAGCCCCAACAGACGAACCCGAGACACACTCGGATGTAAAAGGCATGAGGTGAGGTTTTATTTAAACTGGTCTGGACTTTCCTGGCATGCAGGTCTAGGACGAGCCTCGAACCCGGGGTGGAGCAAGTTTTTATGGGGTACAGAAAGCAAGAAGGGGAGGAAGGTATGAGTACACTTTTGATTGGTGGTTGCTGATTTCATTAGTAAAGGAGGATTTGGATTGGTACAGGCGAGGGGTGGGGGAAGGCAGCTGGGAGTGGCTTTGCAGGTTTTACTGGCAGGGGTTGGGGTGGAGGGGCTAGGAATGGAGTTTGTGTAGTAAACAGTGGGGCTTGTGTAGTAAACAACTAGGAATGGGGCTTGTGCAGTAAACCACAAAATGGAGCTAGTCGGGCCCTCTCATTCCCCCCCTTTCTCTTGTGATTGATGCTCAATCCTGAGCTCTATATTCTACAGTATGCACAGGGGCATTCTGGGAACAGAGGACTAAGTGGGGAAACAGTTGCACTGCCATGCAGAAGTCTTTGGTTAAATTTAGTACTGTGCTATGTAAACAGGGGGTTAAGCCAGTGGTGCAAGCCCACCAAAAATTTCTTGGGGGCTGGAAATATTGTGATTGATTCCAAAAGTAGGAGCTGTTACAGAGGTGGGCAAACTGGGTGGTGGGAGAATCAGTAAGATTAAGGGTTGGCCTAAATTCGGGGATGATGTAATAGTACTATTAGTGGAGAGGGGCTCATTTTGGGGGTTGAGTCTTAGGAAGTTTGAGTTTCAGGGGGTTGTCAGGGTCCTTTAATAGTTTCCACTCAGGTATGTAGTCCTTATCGTCAGTGAACGGGTCTGCCAGCTGGACGTGGGTGTAATGGATCCAGGAGGCGATGCCGTCCACTTTGATGGCTGTCAGGGTGGTCAGGATAACGGTGTACGGGCCCTTCCACCGTGGCTCTAGCGACTCCCGCTGGTGACGCTTGACATACACCCAGTCTTCAGGTCGGTAGGCATGTGGGTCAGGTCCCGACCCAGATGAATACAGGTTAATGAGCCTCCGCCAGTCCTGCTGTTGAGTTTTCTGCAACCTTCCCTTACAAAGCTGCTCCTGTCTGTGAACCAGGTGTCCTCGGCATCTGGGAGGGGTTGGTCTGTCAGGTCCTGGCGCACACTGAAAGACTGGGATAGAATATATGGGAGTCCCCTCCTCTTTGAGAATTACCCGGGGCTCATGGAGGGGAGACGAGCCCTGACAGCCCTAATTCCCCTCTCCCCCTGTCTAATAACCCGTAGCTAATTGGCTAAGGGTTTTCTCTCTGATGGCCATCCATTTCTAAAGAGGGGCCACTCCTACTCACAAAGACTCCTCAGCTTTCCTGGTGTCATAGTCACTTACAAATTTCTTTTTAAAGTGTTCCAACATAGTAGCTAATGAGGTGGGCTCCCTTGCTTGTTCCCCATTTCTATTCCAGGTCTCCCTTCCGAGACGCACATTCACACTTTTTGGCCAGTCTTTTAGTCCCATTTTACAGTTCAATTTACCAAAACAGTTATGACTCATTTTATGAGTAGGCAGTACAGATAAGGCTGGGATCTAATACAGGTGGGCCACAGCCTTTTCCTTTTTCTTTTTCTTTTGAATTATTTTTCTCTCTCTCTAATTTCTCTCTTAATTAGAGTCAGTAGAGTCAACTTAGTTGCCAAAATAACCTGGATCTTAGTATACTGATTATTTGCATAAAGTGCAGTAAGAATTATTAATCATCTAGACACTTTGGCTTTGCTGGAACCTTTTATAAGGAATTTTTCAGACCGGACTTTCTTAAGAGCCTTTTATGAGCCCAGGTTTCATCTGTGCCATAAGATACCTGTATGCGTTGGGTACATTCCTCTTCTTTTGAGGTTCCCCAAGCACCTTTCGATTTCTCAGACCCGATAGCAAGCGACCTTCGTTACTTACCACAGATCAGGAAAGGTTACTGATGGGTATCTGGCCAGTTTTCCAAAGGGCTTTCTTTATTGGCCTTATAAAGTCAACCTTAATTCCTTAATGCAGTCTGGACACCTCTGGAAATGCTATTCCAGCCAAAGCCTTGGTAGAATACCAGTGCCTCTATCATGTCCTATAGAACAAAACAGATTCTTATTGAACTTATGCAAATAACTGTATTGTCAGAAACTAATAATACTTATTAATGACTTTTAAATTCCGGAGAAATCAAGGAGAGAGAAAAATACATGTTTTAAACTCTGCTCATAAGTACATACATTGTTTGAAAAGGTACAAATAGCTCAAAAGACAGAGAATTATTTTCTTGACTTCTGGAAAACAGAACACAGAAAGAACCAACAATATTTTAAACAAAAAGCCATAACAAACTAGCCTAGTTTCATATAACTGATTTCTGTTCTGTTTGAAGTTTGGTTAGTAACACTCATAGACATGTTAACTTTTCTAATAAAAGTTTTAGAACTATGCTTTTAGCCCAAAGGTACTCAATTTCTAAAGACATCAGGAATTTGAATTCGAGAGAATTCGTCAGTCTTTCTTAATATTTCTTTTTCTTTTTCTTTTTTAGATGAATTAAAATTAATACTGACAATGTATGTTAGAACAGACCAATATTTTACAATGTTGGAACACATATATATAACCATAACTCATACAAAATTAATCACCATTTCATATTTGACAATGTTTTCTATACATTTTTAATAAATTAAATGAGTTCAATTTGTTTTTCTATGCCTTTTTAGTGGTCTTAATATTTTAAAAGGACTAAATTTAGAGTTGTACTTTTTGTTTTCTGGACCAAGTTCAATCCTGCCAACCTTGGTGCATGTGGCCAGCACTGTAACCACTGCACTATGGGCGCCACACCCAAATTTAGACTTTTGATTTTGGAAGGTTTGTCAAATATCAAAAGGCCTAAAACATTGGTTCAAATAAGATTATATGCTGAAAGATTTTAGAGGAAATACATAGTCAACTGGATCACGTGTAAATTCTTTCACAAATTCTTTTTTCTTCTGAGCTTCACTTAACCTGCACAAACAATCTCCAAACATTCTAAACCTTCTTTAACTTTTGTCCTGCCTTTTACCCTTTCTTATACAACCATTCTGTTTCAGGACAAATTTATCACACAAGATTCTTTCTTTATATCATGTCATTCTTCTTTCTGTCTAATTTTTCTTATTCTCAAAAGCTCTCCACAAAACATAATCTCAGTTCACTATGAAGTAATTAGAAGTTTTTAAAAAGCAAGAATCTTATTCTTTGACAAAGACTCAGTTTCTCTAACAATTTAAACAACCAAATGATTACATTTTACAAATGAGAGACATTCTGTGAGTTGTAACATTGATATAGGATTTTCCCACTCAGGGCTGGACAGGGAACCCCCATTTTTCAGGCTCAGATATCAGACTCGCATCTCCGGGTACAAACACTCTGAGCCTCAGCCAGGTCATGAATAAAGCAGCCTGAAACCTTTTGGCTGGCTCCACCCAGACTAAGGAGCACACACCCTAATCCTCCCCTCAGACAAAAACTGCAGTAAAAGAACCTAATAATCTTGTCTAAGATGAGGACCTGCATTTATCCATTTGCTAGAACATCCATTCAGTTTGTAAAGGTATATAATTTTATCTTTTAAGTTCTGGTCAGAATATCTCTCAGGGCCAATTATTTATTCTTAGACAAGGGACTCATGCAAGAAATCTCTGACCTGGGCCTCCTCCCCCCTTTCGGAGGCTAGCCACCCAGGAGATCTGTTGCTGATATGGATACAGCACTGTTCCTTATGAGATTTACACTCTATCCTCCAGATTTTCAAGGGTTATCTAGAGCTCACTAGACCGCCCAGACCACAATACTTTTCAAGGCATGGCTCCTCTGCCTATAGTTCTGGCACTCTCCACTCTATTTGCATGTCCCTTAGTTTAACAAAATGCCATTTTATTACCGATCTGTGGCCCACAGTCTCAATTCTTAAATTTCTGAGACTAAAAACTTTCATTTTCCTCCAAGATGACATGGCCACAAGGCCACCCAAAGATAGAAAGTGGAAAACCTGGAACTTCCAGTTTCCCTCAGGATAGTCAGGGGCAAAGTTGGAACAGGGAAGAAGGGCACACTCATACATTTGTTTCACTCCCA